GACATGGGGTTCTGAGGAGAGATTTGAATGAGAACAATGATGGGAATATTGGAAGGGAGGAAGTCTGAGGGCCCAGACAGTAGAGAGGACCCTCTTAGACTAAGTCCTCGCTCATTTATCTCTTTTTACTCCAGGTCCATGACCTTTTAAGCTGTCTGGTGCCAGGAAACCTATAACTGCAGGACATGTTGGGTCACTGTCCAAGGAATTGGTATTTATTCAAAGTCCTCATTTGAGTAAACACCATGTTCTTTGGTTACTAAGAGACCTGGAAGAGTGTCTCTAGGGAAACCACTGCTTTGGTTTTATTTCCTGGAATAAAGACCAATAACACCCAAATCACAAAAGTCATTCTCTGAAATTCTAAATGCATGTATCCCCACACCTCTTATCGAATTATCCCATTCCTCTCACATTAATAAGGATACCCAATTACTCTCCATTCTTTTCTTTTGGAATATATTTTTGTCCATTCAGCAGCTGCTTCACTGTAACAATGGGGTAGGGACCAACAAAGGCAAACAGAAGCTGTCTCCAACTCCAATGAACACAGGTACTTACCGCCAGCTGTGCTACAATCTGCTCAGTGTTTGCACAGGTTTATCTCTTTCCATACATAATCTGATAAAGTAGCTGTTATTAATTTCTCTGTTTTAGGTAACTGAAGTTTGGAGAAGCTAATAGTGAGTGATAGAGACCAGTGCAGGAGCTAGGCCTGTGATTTCAAATCCTGTGCAATTTTCTTCTTTTTCAAAATTGCTTTTGTTCCAATAGGACTCAGTGACCCACAAAAGCCACCAGAAAATTCATTAAAGTGGCTAATAACATGAAATTTGGTGCTGGACAGTTCCAGCTCCAAAACTTACTTATGTGTGTCCTTGGGTAAACTGATTTTCTTCAGCCTGTTCCCTCATCTATAAAACAGGGACAGTAATGAATACCTATTGCATAGGTGTGTTGTGAACATTTAATAAGATAATTTATTAAAGTGTTAACAAATTATTTTTTATCTAGAATCTAATCAAGGTTCATATTTGATATCAGGTATCTTCAGCCTCTCTTAGTCTCCATATCTTTTGTTTCTGCCCTTAACGACATTTACTATATTGAAGCATCTTGACCAGAATGTCCACATTCTATATTTGTCTCCTTTTGTAGGCTTTGGGTGAGCATTCCAGAAAGTGTACTTCCCATTACATTGTATCCTTAAGCACATAGGATCAGTTTCTCCTTTTACTAATGATACTAAATTTGACCACTTGACTAGTACTAGGTTTGTCATATCTCTCCTGGTAAAAATACGTGTCCTCCTTTCATTAACAATTACTGGGGGAGGTAATGCATTTAGCCCATGTGGTGTGCTTCCCAGCAATCTCTTATCCACTGATTTTAACATCTAGTTGTGCTCCTTGCTTGAATTAATTATTACCATGGGATTGTCAAAAGGGTTTCTAACTTTAGCTTTCCTTCTACATTTATTATCTTTTTAAAAGTAAAGTAAGACTTTTCCTTCTTCCTTCTTTTTCTAGGATCATTATATCATGGATTCTTTTAAATTTTGCAATTTATAATGTATAACTATAGTTATTCTTTTTGATACTTTAATTATACCAAGTTTAGCTAATAGGTGATGTGTTTTACTATTTAAAAGAATCTAGAATATTAATAAAACATATCAGACTATGACAACATGGACCATTAATGAAATGACTTCAGGAATCAAGTCAGTCCTAAACTCCTAAAACATTTATCCCAAGAAAAATTATGTCCCTAAACACAGTGCTTAATGTTGCCAAAGAGACTGGTGTCGCAAAGGGTATATGGAAATGATGTTTTGCTGACTCTTTCCAGGATGACAACAATCTGGTCCAGCTGGCTGGAGTCTGGGACAGTGGTGTCTTTAGGGTTGGTGTTACCTTCCCCCACAGACCTTTCCCTCTACCAGACCACGCAGAATTCTTAGTAATGTTTATTATTAATTTTAATCACAGTATAATGTATAATAAATACAGTTGTGAATTGCTTAAATGTAATATTTCTTAGATTATAATATTTTGGTAAAATCTTTCTATACTGAATTGCAACATTATTAGTAACTGAGTGGAAGTCTTTTCTAAGATTTCTCCTCTTTCCTTCTAATTACTACTTCATTCTTAAAAAAGTTTTTTATATAGGTTCATAAATACTAATTATCAAAATATTCTAGCTAAAACACCAGAAAATGTGACAAAATTTATAACTAGTAAAACACTGGCAGCAAAGAAAACAACAACATGTGCTTGTTTAGCACATCCAGATGAAACCACTTGATTCAAAGCATCATTGTAATTGGGTAAAAATGGCGGCTCTGACCAGAGCACATGGTTGTTGTTAAGCTCCACTGAGCTGGTTCCAGCTCATAACTACCCATATAGGATTAACAAGGCTGTAAATCTTGTGGAATTAGAAAGCTTCATCTTCTTCCTGCAGAGCGACTAGTGGGCTCAAGTCTGACCTTGTGGTTTGCTGTCCAGTGTTTATCCTACAGGACCACTGTGCTCCCGCAGAGCACATTAGAAGATTTAAAAAGTTAGCATAGAATTTAAGCCTTGTAGGTATAACTCACTACAGAGATATGTTTATAAAAAAGTAAATTTCTGCTGAAATATTGCATGAAACTTTTTTAGACAGTCATTTTGGTATCTCTACCTCTTACAGAGTCACTAAGAGCAGTTTGCACCCCTTTCACCTTCATAGTGATACCACTGGTCTATGACCAATAACTTTAACTCCAATGGACAAAATCTTCCAGCATGAGGTTTTTTTTTGGTAGCTATATACTTATCATACTGGGGGAAGACATGAAAATTCACCTAGAATATGCTTTTCTTGCTTATTGACAATTTAATTTTTTCATTTTCCCTTCTGAGCTTCGTACTTCTAGGATCTTGGAGCTACATTGGTGTAATATTGTTGGATAACATGGCCTTAATAATAGGCACCTAACAACAACAACAATAATAATAGAGTTTGAACTGATTTTTTCCTTTAGTCCTGAGCAATCCATGCTGCTATTATCTCTTATTTTGCACTTATTCCTTAAAAATGGAGCTCCTGGGTGGTGCAAATGGTTAAGTGCTAAGCTACTAAATGAAAGATTGGTGGCTCAAATCCACCCAGAGGCACCTTGGAAGAAAGGCTTGGTGATTGCAAAAAAACTCGCACCAACCACTTCTCCCATAGGTTCAGTAATTTATTCCAATAGCTACACAGAACTCAGGCACCATACTCAGAGTTAGTATGGGATTTATTAGGGAAGTTAACGGAATATAAAGCAAGATCAGAAAAATGCTTAGGGCACAGTTCTTTCGGTCAGGGTGGCTTCTCCTCAGCCATGCCCATAGGCAGGCTTCTCTATGCCCTGACAAAGTTACAAAGCTCTTCTAAAGCTGCTCATCAACCTCCAGAGGGCACACCACTTCACCATAAGCTTCAGCCTAAAGGCACTCAGCTCTAACTCCATGGGTCAGTAAACCTAGTTCCCTCAATTAAGTGTGTAGAGGCGCCCCACTCTGCAAACAAGCCTCCTGCCCAAGTCACTCAGCTTTACTTGTTCTGTGGACTGGGAACTCCACTGCTCTGTCTCATGCTCTGGCTCTTGGTTCTGCTGCTGCTGCTCTTCTGCCACACATCTGGTGTCATAGCTTTCTGTCCCTTGATAGAGTAGGTTCAATACATAGGGATCTTGGGGTCCAATGGACTCACTCTATTCCTGGCTCTTGAGATGGTCATGAGATCCTATCCCCTGCTTCTGAACTCCCAGGAAGCAAAGACAAAGATTACATTATTTGGGTAAAGTAATTCTTTGCCCCAAACATTTGAAGCCCACTAAGGCCTACTTACTCAGTGTAGTCCAAGAAACTCCAGCATCATGTGAGAGCGTGATCCCCTGAACCCTAATTTGTACTTTAGCAAGATGCTAAGTAATTCATAAGCACATGAAAATCTAAGAAGACCATCTCATTACTGAGCAGAACCTTCATTGCCCAAACTCCTCCTCTTAGTTTATTTCTTCCATATAGAAAAGAAGCGAGTATTTCCTGGATTTTCTAGGAGGTCCACTGGATCAGATTTCAGTTTGAGGTTAAGAATGACCTACAATTACCCATAGTGCCTCCCTCATTCATTCATTCAATCAGTCAATATGACAGACCTTCAGAAAGTTTGTAGAAAATTTTCATTACCCTGTAATTCCATTTTCCCACAAATGTTTTGAAGCTCCCTCATAATAATTGAGTATCTTCTATATTCCAAATGCTTACCATCAGCATCTCTGACATTCCTGACCATATCTTTGTTGGGTTACTTCTAGTAAGATAGGCAGGAACTGGGAGCTGGGTTGTGAGAATTACCTATCTGTACAGGTAGATATTGGCATATGGACAAGAAAGACATTATTAGTGTCAGGTTCTGACCTTAGAATTTCAGAGATGAGCCACAAGGTAAGCAGTTCAAGCCCATCAGCTGCTCCAAGGAAACCCTATACAGGGTCACTATGGATCAGAACAGACTCAATGGCACTGAATAACAACAACAGGGAAATGTGACGTGCAGTACAATTATGGGGAGATGATGCCTTAATTGATAGAGCACTCCAGCTGAAACTGATGGAAGTTGGGAAATTCCCCCACTGGAAACAGGACGCCCATGTTGGCGTTCAGGTGTGCATGGGAACAGAATTGATGAGTGACCAAAGACAAAGTCCACTAAGAAATACAGGAGACCCTGTGAGGCCCTGGGTTGTGAGAAATGTGCCATTAGACAAAAGGACTGCTACGCCAGGACTGTACATCGGAAAATAGGTAAGCGTCCAGAAGGGCTCTGAGTTTGGGCCAAATTGGAAGCATGAGCAACTTGAGAGAGTCCTAAGCAGTTTAAATCTTCCCACTTCAGTGCCTTTCCTTTCCAAGGATGGTGTTAGGGATTAGAGGCTGAGTCAGTAGCTGGAGAGATGTGTGGTCTCATCTGTCAGGAGCTGAGAATGCTCCCAGCTGGAGCTGAGAGGCTGAGGTTGATGTCACCTTCACCTGGGAGTAGATGACAGAGGAGTCCTAGGGGGAAAGAGTACATGGATGAGGTCTAAAGCATAGCAGGTGTGGGAGCAGGCTGGCACAGGGGAAAGCCTGCATGCGGGTCATCATACTCACCTTGTTCTTGAGAAGCCCTGATGTGGAGACCACTGTGGAAAGAAAGGAAATTCTTGTCTGTAAAAGGCCCACTCATAGTAAGCCCTCGTTCTTGTATCTGGTTGTTAGTGCTGTCACAGTTGTGTCTTTGGGTCCCTTCCTCACTTAGGTAACTCAGTCACTCTCTTTAGTCCTTTTCCTGTACTTCAACTGCTGTCTTCCTAAGATGTCACGTCAGACAAAACATTTAAACTCTCTATGTCTCAGGATCTTCATCTATAAAATGAGATTAATGACAATGGTTACCTCAAAGAGGGTTGTAAAAAATACTTATACAGTTCCTGACAATAGTACGTGTGCTCATTAAATGTTAGATATTATTATCATTTTTTGTTGACTGTTCTTAATGAGGAAATCAGTCTCTTCACAAGTGTGGAGAATATTGAGTTTTTGCTTGTTTTCCACTTAGTGTGTTAGTGGTAGGTCATAGAACTAATAATGGCACAAGCATAGTTCATTTTCCTTTACACAAGAGAAACCAGAAACCTAGAGAGGGAAACAGAATGGCTGAAAGCATAGTGCTTTAATTAATGAGAGTTAGAAAGAAAAGACTGTCCCAAAGAACCTTGTTTCCCTTTCTTGCTCCAAGAAGACAAAAGGCAAGCTGGGATCCCTCATTGCAGGCCACCTACCCTAAGTAAAGATCAATAACATAGTCAGAGCAGCATGCTGCCATCATTACTGCTATTCAACACTCTGCTGTTTTAACAGCACTTTCTGATCCATTTTCTTGTTTGATCCTCATGTAATTCTATGACATAGTGTGGTAGGTAAGAGATGACTTGCCACATTTATTGATGAAGGTCAAAGACTACAGCCTTCAATACGGTTTACAGTCAAATGTGAAGAAAATGAAAATCCTTACAACTGAACTAATAAACAACATAATGATTAATGGATAAAAATTGAAGTCATCAATAGTTTCATTCTGCTTGGATCACCAACTAGTGTCAAGAAATTAAATGTTATATTGCACTTGGAAAATCTGCTGCAAAATACTATGTTAAAGTTTAAAAAAGTAAAGATGTTCCATTGATAACCAAAATTGTATCTGGTTCAAGTCTAGGTACAGTCGCTTCATATGCATGTGAACAATTAACAATGAAAAAAGAAAATGGAAGAAGAATTGGTTCATTCAAATTATGGTGTTGTTGAAGAATATTGAAATACTGATGTCATGATGACACAGTGGATAAGCACTCAACTGCTACCTGAAAGTCAGTGGTTCAAACCCACCAGCCACTTCATGGAAGAAAGATGTGGCATTCTGCTTCTTTAAAGATTGGAGCCCTCTGTAGAAGTTCTATGTTGTCCTATAGGGTTGCTAGAGTTAGAATAGATTCAGCAGTAAAGAGTCTGGGCTGTGAGAAGAATGAAGAAATCAGTGTTAGAAAAATATAACTAGAATGCTCCTTAGGAGTAAGGATGGTGAGACTCTGACTCACTTACTTTGAATAGTGATGGGGAAAGACCAATTGCTAGAAAAAGACAGCATGTTTGGTAAGACAGGGAGAAGGTCAGTAAAAATGAAGGAATCCTTCAATGATTGACACAACAGCTGCCACAATGGACTCAAATATGCCAACGATCATGAAGATGGCACAGGATTGGGCAACATTTTGTCTTGTTATATATAAAGTCACCATGAATTGGAACCTACCTGTTGGCAACTTTCATAAACAACAAATATGTCTGCATTCTAGTCCTTATGATTATATTACTTGAGATGAAAAAAGTAACTTTATATATGTGATTAAGGTAAAGGATCTTGCCATGCGGAGATTATCTTTGATTATCTGGGTGAGCCCAGACTAATTATATGAATCCTTAAAGTTGGAGAACCTTTCCTCACTATGGCTAGGGAGAGATGTGACTGGAAGAAAGATGGAATATTGCTGACTTCAAAGCTAGTGGAAGGGAGCCATGAACCATGTGAAATAGGTGGTCTCTGATAGCTGAATAAAGCAAGAAAATAGATTCTCCCCTATAACTTTTGGAAGAAGGCAGCACAGCCAACACCTTGATTTTAGCCCAGTGATATCTGTTTAACTTCGACCTACAGAACTATAACAAATAAATTTATGTTATTAAAGCCATCAAATTTGTGGTAACTTGTTACAGTAGCAATGGAAACTAGTAAAAGTAAGAAAAGCTTGTGTTGTTGTTGTGTTAAAGTGCCATTGAGTTGGTTTCAACTCACAGCAACCCTATTTAGGGTTTTTAAGGTTTGAACCACTGACCTATAGTTAGAACTCCAGTGCTTATCCTACAGGGCCACACTAGAATTCTAAGCATGATAGTACTATTCCATTTTACAGATGAGGACACTGAACCTCTGAGAGGTTAAGTGATTGCCCACAGGGATATTTGTTATTCACATAATACTTAGGCCATCTCTAAAAAATACAGAAAGTTGCAATGTATGGTGGACTTGGGTAAACCCCAGAAGCTCAGGTGGAAACAAGTTGAGAAGCCCAACTGACCAGTGTGAGTGGCAGCTATGTGTCTGTTTGACCCAGACCCACTGAAGGAATGGAAACTGAGTCACACACAGCAATAGGCTATCAAAGCCTAGACACAGTCAGAATAGACTTCCTTAGCGCTTACCTGCATTGGTCTTTTGTTTTTTGATGCTCTGGACTTCTGAGTAAACCACGTCTTCTCTTTTAAGATTCACTTGAAAAGAAAGTTGAAGTTTTAGAAGACTCTAAGGCTCTTGCCTCTTATCAGAGCTACTTCCTTTTCCTCCTGGATGGTTTGTTCTCTGAAGTGACTAAATTTAGCCCCTCCAACCTCTACATATCCCCTTTATCCTATACTCTCCCTCCATGCCTTCTGGAACAAAGTTGGGGCCCCTGTCAGTCCTCACCATTACTGTATATTGGCTGCAGTTCTATCCAGGTTGATATGTTGTGGTAGGTGGGCTCTTGGGCATCCAAGTTTGAAGGGCTCCTGTGAGACACAGAAATGCCAATGTTTCTGGGGAATCCTGATAAAGTAGGTCTCCTGATCACTCCCTTATAGTGAGTCCTTATCACTTACCAAGCTTGGAAACATATGTAACAAATGATCTGTGGTTATTAATTTACAAACCATAATAAAATAATGTTATTTGTTTCAAGAGTTTATGGTCACTTGCCTGGAGTCCTGGTGTGGTGCTGTAGGCTAAGTAAGCACTAGACCTTATGGTCTGTTTGAACTACAAGGTCAATAGTTCAAACCCACCATCTGCTCCTTGGAAACCCTATACAGGGTTGCTATGAGTCAGCATCAACTCGATGGCACTAAACAGCAACAAGCTATATACCACATACTTTGATAATGTTTGATAAGTAATAGAAGTCAATTCTATTACAATCCCCATTTTATTTTATCATGATAAAATGGAGGTTCCAACAAATGAAGTGACTTGTTCAAGACCATACAACCAGAATGGGGCAGGACCAAGATTTGAATCTGGCTCCAGAGACTACACTCTCAGAGAGAACAGTGTCTCAGAGAAATCAGTAATCAGAAGACTTAGAAGAATACTGTATGGTTTTGACACTGTTACCATGGTCTTCACCATAGACAGTTTGCGAACTGTGATGTGGTTCCTAAAGTCTGACTTTGGGATCCAAGATGGCAGCCTGTTCTTCACAGGTACCACATTCTTCCCCCTGCCTCCCACCACTGTAGGAGAGTCATATATCTAGGTGAACAAGTTGTATGGCTTCATTTTCTCTGCTGTTGTCACAATAGGCATTGGCTATGTTGGGTCATGTTTAGAGCTTTGCAGTATGATTAATCTAAGATCATCTTAGGACATGGGCAGATTCAGTAATCATAAGCCAACCAAAGACACGAATTTTTTATTTTTTAAAGCAATTAACAGTTGATGTGAGAAGAAGGCCTACACAGCTAAAGCAGTGGGGGAGAAGATCTAGGAACCACCATGAGATATTTCAAAGGAGGAAGCAATATGAAGTGAGCATATCTTATCTTGTAGGCATGAGAACAACAGAAATTGGACTCTTGGCAGTAACCGGACTCAACTCCATATTTCTACCATGTAAGCATTTCATTAACTATACAGGAAAGATGAGCTACAGCCCAGGACTTACCTAGTGAGGTCAGAGGCAGGTTTTTTTCCTGGAAAGGAAAGCAGAGAAACATTGGATCTGGAGATGGAGCAGAGCTTGTAGGGGACTCATTTAGAACCTGATAATCACTATGGTTTGAATTCTTCTTTGTAAATCCTAATGGAGGTGGCAGATTGGCAAAAACTGTCTTTGGCCTTCAAAGGGATATAGTCATAAGGTAAAAAGGGAATCTACAATTCATAGTTCTTTTACTAGTTGTTAAGTGCTGTTGAGTCAGTTCTAACTCATAATGACCCTGTATAGGGTTTCTGAGGAGCAGTTGGTGGATTTGAAGTGTCAATGTTGTGGTTCACATTCCAGTGCTAATCTTACAGCACAACACCAGGAATCTTTTAATCCAGAGTTTGTAAAAGAACAACAGCTAACTAGTGCAGGCAGGGCCGTACAATTGATCAACTATGAAAACGCTCAACATTTAAAGACTCAATAACTTACCAACTCCTATTTGGCTTCTATTTTTACTCCTATTTTTCAGTATTTATCTTCCTCTTGTCATTTTTAGGGGTGTATATGGGAGAGGGTGATACACTGGATTTTCTGATGCTGGGTAAACAACACCTCATCAAAGAATCATCCACCCACTGGGACTGTTTGGAACACTTTGCATTTGGTAAAGAGAAATTAGGAGGACACCAGAAGGAAGATGTGGGTTGTGGGAGTGAGGGGACTGAATGGGGGATGTTAAGAAGCTGAGGGTGGTTATAAGGTCAGTATTAGCCTGAGAGAATAAAGGCAAGCTGAGCATGGATTATAGTAAAGGGAAGTTTGGGAAATACCCACCTGCTTTTCTTGGGAGCCAGTAAAGGAACAGCAGCAGTGCCACAGCAACCAAGCCCATCAAGCTGAGCAGTGCCCCGGTGACTCCTATGGCTATAGGGCCACTTCTGCTTCCTGTCAGCCCTGAGGGGAGACCCCATGCATGAGTCAGGAGGAAAGTCTTGCCATTTTGAATTGCCCTGACCCCTGGAGCTGATGTCTGTGCCTGGAAGAGAGGATGAATGTGGGGGATGAGGACTCCTGAGGGGTCCCTGGGCCAGGCAGTAGGCTAAGAAGATTTCCTCTGGCTAAGCAGGTGCTGATGCAGCATAGGAAATGCCCCCTGGCTTTGTGAGGAAGCTCCATATTTAGTGGTCCCCTCTGGTCCGCAGTTACCTCCCAAAGATTATCACTTTAGAAAACTATTAATTTAGAAATTTCCCATCATCTGAACTTGTCTACTTCACAAGGGAGTCAAATTATGTTCCTCTGCCATTTTTGCAGTTAGTGAGAGGAGTGGGGTTCACTGCAATGGTTCCAGACTCACGTAAGTATGGAACTTTGTAAAAGAAAGAAAGAAGGAGCATAGGAAGTGAAACTTGATTCTTAGATGGTTACTTTGCTTTTTATCTATAATTTATTGTTGTTAAATGCCATTGAGTTGGTTCTGACCCATAGCTACCCTGTATAGGGTTTCCAAGGAGCAGCTGGTGAGCTTGAACAGCCAAACATGTAGATCAAACTGACCGTGCAATCCAGCTATGGGATGGAACTGACTTGACAGCACTTAGCAGCAACAACATTAACCCACAGCACCACACCAAGACTCCTATAATACCTGCAAGTAAAGTAAGAGGTGGCGTCTTATTGCAGCAGAAGAGAAAAGAGCTGCATCTGGAATGACTTGGAGCAAAAGCTTGTCCGGTTCAAAAAGATGATTGATTGATGGGAGCCAAGGTCTTCCTGTTCTACCCAATGAGAGACTCCAAACCAGATGCACATGAATGGGAAGATAACCAAAGTGTGGATGAAACTGAAATGTTAAAAAACACATGAGCAAGCATGTAAGCTTGCTGGTGACCAGGTTGGTCTTCTAATGAGGGAGAAAGGCAGCAATGAAGATATGGGCTGAGTTTGATCACATTCCATAGACCCTCATCAACCTGGAGATGAGTGAGAAAAAAGGAAGAGCTTGGTGGTCCAAAGTATGGTGAGACCTGGGGACTCCTGTGCCCATGGACAAGGACGTAGCCATGGAGGGCTAAAGCTGAGGGCAAAGCATCCAGCTGATATGAAGTGAGGGGAGATGCACAAGAACGCCCAAACTTGTAGACAGTACCCATTTGACCTAGATTTGATGGCTTGATGATCAGAACTCGACTAGAGGAAGATAAAAAAACATTTTTTTTGATAAAGGAAACAAGTGTAAATTGCTACAATTTGATGAACTTGACTTATAGATGTAGTAGCTTAAAATACCAACGGAGAGGGAAGAAATCTTCACATCAAGTATCAATCCTATCTGCTCTGTATACAGGGTTTGATAGGGATGGGCAACATAGACTTTGGCTACCTAAAATGGGGGTACTATATAGGCACCAAGTGACTGGTTTATAAGTTTTCAAGGAGAGCTTAGCTTCAGAGTGTGTGTGGGAAGGTAGAATTCCCATTGAATAGTTTTCATCTAGTCTAGATAGTTCTGGTGAAATAAGATTCTTATGATTCAGTAGTGAGTGATTATTATTATGACTAATTGCAACTGTCACAATTGTAAAGGCAGGAGTTTTGTAACAAAAAGGGGGGAGCAGTTAATCTTACAGTCCAGGAACAGCGGATCCTAGGACCATCAAGGGAGAAAAGCATGAGCAGAATGCAGGTCTCTATCCAGAGAAGCAGTAACACCAAAGATGGAGGCAGAGATGATGATATGGAGAGACAGAGGCTCATGGAAAGAGAAAGGCTGTGTGTTGGCAGTCAGGAGTCAGGCTTGCAGAATGTGCTCTTTGGTTATTTAAATGATTATTCTATATTCCTGAATATTTTTGT